TGTACAGACAACAAGGTGGATATAGCTGTGATTACAGAAACACAAATCACAAATGACTCCAGCAAGCATTGGAAGGTCCCAGGCTACCAAAGCTTCACAACAGAAGATAACAAAGAGGCAGGAATCATCATCATGCTCAAAACAGAAATCATACAACACATAGGTGGTATAGACAAGTTCCCAGGAAGAGGTATCTGCATAGATCTATACTACAAAAACAACAACAAAGTCAGTATCATTGGAATATATGTTTCAGCATCACTCAGCAGCAACCGCAAACAATTTTTAAGCTGGACAAATCAAAAAATTTGGAAAAAAAATAACAAAGACTTTCTCACCATTACATTGGGAGACTTTAATGGATTGGCAAACCCAAAGCTTGACAAACTCCACCACTCAAAAGCCAACTGCAAAACATGACCCACAAACTCAATCCTCCATACACTCACACAACTGGGCCACATAGATACATACAGATTCCATCATCCATCCAAAAAAGAATACATATGGCAAAACAATAATGGAGCTGCAACACGAATTGACTACATCTGACTATCCCCAAATTCAAACTGGTTCACACTGGAGGCACATATTATATCATCAGAGTTCATTTCCAATAGCAACCACAACATTGCTACATGCACAATACACATATCCATAGGAGACAACCAAGTAATACCACACAACACATCTCTCAAAACAAATGCATTCAATACTAAATCGACAAAGGCAAAGCAATGGAAGCTATTCCAAGAGAATCTGAACAAGGAAATAGAACAGCAAGAAGATTTACACAACATCACCCATATGTCAGTAGAAAGACTCTGGAACATCACCTGGAACAGTATCTGTACAACAGCAAAAAGGCATGTCAAGAAAACCAACCCCAAAAAGATCTCCACACACAAGCAAACAAAAAACCATTTACAACTACACAACCCCAACCAAAACATTGGCTCAGTTTACAACCTTGGGAAACTTGTATATCTAGCCAATACATACATCAAAAGAAAGAGAAAGTCAAACACAATGGTCAAAAAAATCAACAAAATGACAAAATTCCTACAAAAACAAAACATACCCATAACAAACTTTCCCTTCCAGAAAAGCGCCAACCAAAAAAAAAGATGGCTGGAAGAAGTAAAAGACCTCTGGCAAGCAACAAAAAAGATAATCAATCATGAACTACAAAGTAATATCAATGCCCAAATCAAAGAAGCCACCCAAAAAAGAATGGAACAATACTCGAAATCAAAAAAGAAGATGATTAACAGCATACTATCGCGAGAACACAAAACAATCGAAATGAACACAATTGTCATCAAAGATCCAGAAACGACCATCATCACAGAATCAAAAGAAATCAAAGAACTGGCAAAAAAGCACTTTAGTCATCAACCAGTACACCACAACATGTTACAAATTCCTATAGAATGGCAAAAAGAATACAAGCCAAGGGACAATATACAAGAAGGCTGATATACAGCAGTACTACAAAAAATACAACCATCAGAGACTAGAAAAACCATCACTAAAACAAGTAAAAACTCAGCACCTGGCCCATCAGGAATAAACTATGACATACTCAAACATTTGGGAGACAAAGCCATACAAAGAATAACAGATGTCTTTAACAAAATTCTGGATACAACCATAATTCCAACACAGTGGCAACACAACCTGATATACCCAATCCCCAAGAAAACAGATTGGCAACATGACCTCAATCACACCCGCCCGATCATCTTAATGAAAACAATCAAAAGATCTTTACAAAAATCATAAATAATAGGCTTGCAAAGGTCTTAACTCAACACCCTATTCTCTCACCTCTCAATTGGGCAGGCCTGCCAGGAGGCGACACAAATGAACCCATATCAATAATAAACTATATTCTAGAAGATGCAAGACAAAACAAAAAGGAATGCTGGCTAATTAACCAAGACATCAGCAAAGCATACAACTCAATCAAACATAGCATCTTGAAAAAAGCATTGCAGAGAATCAAAACTCCAGAAAAGGTGATCAAAATTATATTAAACCTCAACACAGATCGAAAAAACAGAGTAATTACATGTTATGGATTAACAGACGAATACTCATCAACCAATGGCATAGACCAAAGTGACACAATCTCTCCACTGCTTTGGCATATATACTATGATCCCTTAATCATCAAAATAAGTAAGCTCAAAATAGGATACAAGTTACACAATACAAGGCACAATCAATAGTTAGAAACAATCAGAGACCTTCAAGTCCAAATATCTGTAGTGGCATATATGGATGATGCAACATAGATTACAATGAACAAGAAAAATGGACAAAAAATACAAAACATCACAGATACATTTGCCCAGTTCACAAATTTGAAGCTCAACCCTGATAAGTCAACATTACTGACAGTTAACAATACAGAAGAAGCAACACTGGAGTCCAACAATCACAAGATCACCAAAGCACAAAAAGATGAACTGATCAGAATCCTAGGAGTATACATCACACAATCAGGAAAAATGACTCATCAAAAGCAGATCATTCAAGACAAAATCAACTATACCATCAAAATGCTTAAAAGAAAGCATATTACAGACAAACAATGCAGATATATCCTCAATCAAGTCCTAATGCTTGTGATAGAATACTTGCTCCAAAACATCATATTGAGTGAAACAGAATGTCAACAAATAAACAGGAAAATTATAGCAGTAATCAAAAACAAAATCAATATAGCATGTACAAGTATCAACAGTGGAATTTACCTTTACACAGGATACAAAGTGTTCCATATTTATGATAGAATACTCCAACTACACACATAAACTTGGATAAACCAAATCAACAGTAACAACATCATTGGACAAATAACAAGAGCAAGACTGCAAAGCCTGCAAGAGCAAGTATGAAGCACACAACCAGTCACAGTTAAGACAACAAACGATCTAAAAAACATCAATAACAATTTCATTAGTAAGATACTAACACTATTCAAGGAAAATGACATAAACATAATGCCTAGTAATACAGCCCTGCAAACACCTAGGAACTCCTTGCTACACCCAATCGAAGAACATACACTGCAACAATGGTACATCAAAAATAGAGTAGCACTTAGAAAACACAAATTAATGTTTATTGAACAAGTGACAAACACAACACAAACACATATGATTACGTGGACACAATTCAAAGCACAAGAAAAAGTCAAGTACATTGGCAGACATCCAAAATGGTTCAATCAATTGACAAATTTTCTTGCACAAGAATACATAATCACAAACGACAGGAGAATTACCATTCCAAATCTGTCAACAAACTTGTTAACACAATACAGAACATCCACCAACACAACAATAAACAAAGGAGAATACCTAGCCACAAGTATAGATGGACAGATATACATAGGCAAAAAAACAACAAAACACTGACCAAACAACGATCACATCACAGCAACACACTTCATCCAAATAGCAGGAGACTCACCTATCGAAAAATGCACAGGATGCAACTTAAATACATGAGGTAACAAAACAGGATGTTCCAGAAAACTAGCAGCAAATGAATGTATTCCCCTACCAGCCAAAAAAACAAATAACAGTTCCAAAATCCACAGCTTCATAACAGGTCAACTAATGCACATTAGCAATTCCCCAAACTCAATACACAACCTCACACACATTAGAGAGATCAACAAACAACAAACAGACCCCTTACCAACAATAACAATAGATGACAACACAAGCAGCAGCCCTATTACAGCAAATCAATCTGGAGAAGAAAAGATCAAAGAAATAAAGAGGCTTACAGAACAATGGAGTGACATCAATGTGTACACAGACGGCTCTATGGATTCAACAAATGACAACAACATGAAAATGGGTATAGGCATCATTTTCCATCCTCCACAAAAGCAGAACTGATGGCAATCCTCACAGCAGTTGAACTTATCTCAACAACAGCCAATGTCAACATCCATACAAATAGCAGCAATGCTATACACACAATAAAAAACAGTAAAAACAAAATAATACCAATAAAACAATCGAACCATCTCACAGTTGCACAAATCCAATCACAGATCAATAGGAGAATAGGCAACACAACCATTACCAAAGTCAAGGCACACAACAACGACATCATGAATGATAAAGCAGATCAAGAAGCAAAAGAGGGAAGAAGCAGCCAATACATTATACACCTCAAAGATTTTACAGCAATCAACATAACAACAATACAATGGAAAGAATTCACACTAGACACAGATATTCCCAGATTTATCAAGAACATCACCAACGCAAAGTGGATAGCCAAATGATGCACACAAAACAGACACATACAATGGCTGGACAAACAAGAAGAAGATCAAATATCATGGCAAGAAACATGGGAGAATCAGCATCCAACAAAGATCACTGCAGACACCATGTCACAAAAAGAATACAACACAAGGGCTTTTAAATATAAGCTTCTCAACAATGAGTTACCAACCAAAAACAATCTATACAAATGCAACCTGCATATATACAAGACAAACCATTGTCACAGATGCAACCAAATTGAAGACAACACTTATTACTTTACAGAACACAGTGAAGAAAAATATATAATAAATTTATATCAATAGCATCACAAGAAATTAGCTCAAGATCACAAGGAAAACAACCAGAGAAACTAGAAACACAGCTCAGAAAAGTACTACCATCAAACAAAAGCAACATCAAATATATAGTTAAAGGGGTAATGACAAAGAACCTCTACAAAACAATAAAACAAAGGATACAAGAAGAATGGAGAAAAGCCATGGCCAAAATACAACAATAAGTCACAACAACTATATACAAAGCATGGCAGAATGGGAAAAACAAGAAGGGATCACACAAAGGGACAAATGAAATAGGAAAAAGAAGGACACAAGGGGTACAACAAACAATTAATCAAAAGACCAGACACAGCTAACCAAATGCATTTGTGAATACTTAATTAGCAACAGAATACAAAATAACAAACAGGAACACAACACTAATTTTACCATTTAATCAAAAACTATTATATACAAGCTAATGGAGCCTTGGCACATTAGCTCAAGCCTCTGTCTTTGGACAAGCTAACAGCAACAAGCTGATATGTAAGTTACTTGGATATAGCTTTATTTACATATAGTATACTATATACAATACACAAAAACATGATATGTATAAAGTATTTAAAAGTCAATAAAGCAAGGCCCAGCTGGTGTTTAAAAATAAAAAAATAAAACTATCTATAGACATATATGAATGGTGGAAAAGGTTCATACACCTGGACAATAGACTCCTAACAACTTATCCACCTGCCTAGACTAAAGGAGTTACTTACAGTGGATCCAAGGTTTCCATGTTACTTGGGAGTGTATTCATTAATAGGCCCAACTAGCTTATCCATCCACCTTGACAAGAGATGTTTGCTTATGGTAGATCCAAGGTTCTTATAGATCTTGGGAAATGCATTCACTAATGGTTCACTTTCTAAAGTTCCTGACCTGAAAAGAAAGTAGTGGAGGGTATTTTTCTACAAGTTTCTTCTTCTCAGTAAGGTGTTCTTGCTGTAGACCAAATGGGTAATATATTGTTTATTTTGTCACTGAAATATCCAAAGTTTTTCGAAGAAGAAAGGGCAAACAAGTGAAAGAGGTATCAGCCTTCAGGGAGTAATGTTTTTAAGGAAAGTATATAGACTTTATTATCAAAAATAAAAAATATTTTTAAGAACGTCTGTTTTTTGGGTTAGCAAGGGGATTAGCAAAAAGAGTTCCATACTTGTAATAGTTTTATAAATAATAAATAATATAATATTGATCTAATTATAAGTTTTAAAAAAAAAATTTTAAAATTTAAAATAAAGCAAATTTTTTAAAAAAATAAGAAAGAAAAAATATATATATCACAACAATAGTATATCAAAAATAGAATTAAAGTTTTTTTTTTTATTAATCTGGATTTTTAAATTTTTTAAAGAGTTTTTTTTATTAGTTTTTTTTAAATAGGTTTTTTTGTATTTAATTACAAAAAAAAAAAAAAGTATTTAAAAAAAATAAAAAAAGACAATTAATAATATTTTTATTCTACTGATTAAAAAATCAATATTATTTAAAAGAATATATAAAATTTATTTTTATAAATATATAAAATCTTTTGAAAATATTTAT